TCAATTTTATCTCTAAAGGAAGTATTACTGCTAATATCTATGCTTACAGTCTTCCAGAAAGTCAAAAAAACTCTGCTGGGATGATTATACAAGGTAAACAATTCCCAAAGTTATAAGCACTCTTTTTTTCTTTTTTTTTAACAATTAAGCTTTGATTTTTATTTTGTGTCCAACTCTTTGTGACCCCATGGACTGTAGCCCACCAGGCTCTTCTGTCCATGGGATTTCCCAGGCAATAATGCTGAAGTAGGTTGCCATTTCCTTTTCCAGAGGATCTTCTTGGCCCAGGGATTGAACCCACATCTCCTGCATTGGCAGACAGATTCTTTACCACTGTGCTGCCTGGGAAGCATTTTGTTACATATGTATATGTACACTTAATGAGTATAATTGCTTTGCTATATGTAAACATATATTAGGGCCTTGGTGCTAGTGGTAAAGAATCCACCTGCCAATGCAGAAGACGTAAGAGATGGAGGTTCAATCCCTGGGTCAGGAAGATCCCCTGAAGGAGGGCATGGCAATCCACTCCAGTATTCTCGCCTGGAGAATCCCATGGACAGAGGAGCCTGGCAGGCTACAGTCCACGAGGTTGCAAAGAGTTGGACATGCTGAAGTGGCTCAGAAAGGCATGTACATATATTAAGGACTCCTGACATGAGTGTGTAAAACAGGCAGGTGACTGGCATTTACAGCAGACAATAGCACTAATGTAAGGGGGAAAGAGGACAGACTAGGCACTTAAGGCACATACTGGCAGGCCTATAGAGAAGTCCTCCCTGGCCTCCTAAAATCTCCAAGCTGCACCCACTGAGCTCTTAGCATCTTCACTTGCTCATGACCACCCACCCCCAGCTCACAGCACAGGGGCCTCATTCCCAGAGCACTTACTTCCCAGCCCCAGCACAAAGACTGATCCGCCTCAAGGCACCTTCAACCCCCAGCACCGGCCTCACTTCTTCCCTTGAATTCCCTTAGCAGCTGCTGTCACAACACCAAACAAGCGTGCAGCTGCCACTTCTGAAAAGGCCCACCAGAGGGGGATGTCGCGGTAGGGATGCAGAGAGGATGCGCTCAGGCCAGAGCCACAAAGTGACCGCGCTGCGATGATTGTCTGCCTGTTTGTTTTATTTGAATACTTGAAGATGAATGGTTCAAATACTCTTGTAATTTTGTTTTCTTTTTAAAAGAAAATATTTAGAATGTTTCCACTCAAAAAGCACATTTTCAAAATTGAAGCATTTTAAGAGTCTGCTTTCACTAAACAGTTGCATCTTGTATCCCCGAGGGCTTCTGCAAATGGTTCTGGTCTTCTTATTTTGTTTTGTTTTGCTACAACTCAAACTGCAATTTCATGAAAGTTAATGCTGCACTGTTTCTAAAAGAGCCCTGTAAACAAAGCTGTAACAGGGGATGTGGAGAAGGGTTCATTTTAATACCCCTGCTTGACTTAATTTGTATATTTTTTCTTCAGCTCTTCCTTTCTAGGTCAATTTATCATTCCAAGTTTTATTAACATCCAACACACTAATATGCTTGGGAAAAATAAGAAAACTGTAAACTCACAATAATGCCCAGTTGTAGTCCCAAAGCGGGCTGCCCTGCCTGAAGGGGTGTTTTAGTTGGCGTGATTTTCCTAAGGACTTCAGGGAAGTGAATCTTGTTTCCAAATCAAGGAAAAGGGTTTCTAGAACTCCCCAGTAATGCATGGGGTCTTGTCATATTGCTTACTAGTCCAGAGTGTTCTGACAGAACATGTGGGTTCTCATTGCAAAAATGCAATTGTTCATAAGAGCGCAATGTTTTTCCTAAGAGTTTTTCTTTTGAGTTTCAATAATTGCTGCTGCTGCTAAGTCACTTCAGTCGTGTCCGACTCTGTGCAACCCCATAGATGGCAGCCCATCAGGCTCCTCCATCCCTGGGGTTCTCCAGGCAAGAACACTGGAGTGGGTTGCCATTTCCTTCTCCAATGCATGAAAGTGAAAGTGAAGTCGCTCAGTTCAGTCCAACTCTTAGCAACCCCATGGATTGCAGCCCAACAGCGGGGTATATAAAACATCTCAACGATAAATCTTACAAACCCTCCTGAAGTATATACCTCGGTCAAAACAATCCTGTATCTTAATAAGACAGAACATATTTGTAAATGTAAAAATAGATTACAATGACATCTAAAGAATCCAGTTGTTGGAAGAGAAAAAAAATAAAAATCAAACTGTATAAAAATAATATTATAAATACAACTGACATAATATGCTAGGCTGGTGAGATAGGAATATGATCTGGAGTTAAGGCCTTTCTTGTTTTTATTGGTTTTTATACTCACAAAACATAAGCTGGCAAAGTGAGAGTAGAAAGTGGTGATACGGCCGGGCCTGGTGGCTTTTTGGCCTTAATGGAATGGCACATCTGATGTTTCAAAGTCACAGATGGTGATGGTTGAAAAAAAAATCATGCCAATGGAAAGGGAGTAAGAAACCCTTTGCAGCTTTCCTCGCTGGTAGAATCAGTGATATAATGCACTTCCTATGGCAGGAGTGCACATGGGTGAAGAGGCAGCTCAGAACAGGAGGCCGTCCCTGCCTCGGCTGCCACCCAGTGACGGGACCTCAGCGTGTGGGCTCCCTCCGAGGGATTTCAACCCAGTGCTTTCTTCAAACTGAAGACCATGAAGTCCTCACCCTACCAGCACCGGAGCATCTCCCGGGGTGTCAGACCGACTCCTCAGGCCGTGTGCACCCCAAGATGAACATCTCCACCCTCGCTCTGCTTCTCGTCCTACATCTTCCATCTCAGTTCCTTGTTTCTAACATCCACAGGCTCCCCTGTGTCCACCTCCCAGCGGCAGCCAAGTCTGTACAAACGCGCTGCTCCTTTCCAGCCCCGAGGCGTCTGCCGCTCCCAGGCAGGGGACCTCTCTCTGACTTAGAGGCAGCTTCGAGGGGCCCTGGGCCCTGCAGCTTTGCCCCCATGGCTCCGGCCGCACTGTGGACCAAAGAGTGCACGGCAACAGCTGTTTCAAAACCCTAACAGCCCAGGGCCTTGGGATGAAGTCCAGCCTCCTCTGGGGCACTTGAGGGTTTCTGGCATCCAGCTCCTCTTCTCCCTGCCCCGCTAAATCCACCCAGCCCCGCAGGGGATGCTCAGCTGGCCCCAGCAGGAAGAGGCACAGACAGAAGCCCTTCGGGGTCCTGAGCTCCTGGGCCTTCCAGCGCCAACGGGACCTGGGTTTCCCCACTGGGACCTGGGGACAACGCTCCCCTGAAGGCGAAGGTTTGGGAAACCCGTGGCCCTCCTGTCCTTCCAGTTTCTCAGCCTTAGAAACCTTCAAATTGTCCACAGTGAGTGGATAATTCACCTGGATCCTTCAACTGGCATTCACCTCGACTCTTCCACAGCCCAGCCCCAGGAACTATAGCAAAGAATGGAGCCTGCTTCCTTGCTCCGAAGGAGCTGGCGACCTGGCAGGTGTGAGAGAAGTGATGCAATATCAAGTCGGATTCTAATATTCCTCACTTTAGCCTCAAATCTCACATCTCACAGGACAAAGGTTCTCATTCCGGGTGACCTCTCTAGGAGCACAGGAGACCTCAGCTGAACTCCAGAACGAGTGCCCTAGGGTGAAAGGCAGAGATTTCACGGCAACCCATTTGTTACCTTATGACCAGGACCAAGCCGAGCCGAGGTGTGACCAACTCACGACCACACTGGACTGTTCCACCTGGGAGTCTGACACCAGGGGGTTTAGGTACCATGTTAGAAATTAAAGGTGGTGTGCAGCCAGGCAACCCCCTTCTTCCAAAATCTCCAGCCAGCAAAACACCCTGCAGAATATACTGGAGACCATGTGAATATGGAATTCAGGTAGAGTTTGTTTTAAATTTGGGACTAGAGGCAAATGACCTCTGTGAATTGCTCATACCTGAATTTCTGGTCAATCACGAGCTGCTGGACATTATGTCGCATCATCATACACTGTCACTTCCCAGTGGACCCACACAGTGGGGTTCAAGCGTACTTTATCATCTGCTCAGAAAACCACCCTCTAAGGTAAGGGTTGACATAACTGGCACGTACCCTCAGGGATTAAATAACTTCCCAGTGAGTGAACTGGAACTCTAGCCAGTTTTCTCTAACTCGGCACTCTTGCCATATAAGGGAAACTGTTTTTAATTGTTCTGAAATTACAGGCCTTACCTTTCCCTTGTAAACACATCCTTATGCAATCCCTTGCTTCTAGGAGTAATAATAAGTTCCTTTCTGGTGGTCTAATTAATACTCTTGCCAAGTTAAATTCCATCCACGGACCCATATAATTCATTTGTTTTCTGGTAGGTCCTAGATTAATAAAACAACACCTTAAAGGGCCCACTACCTCCTGATTTACATAGAATGAATCATTCGAAGGCAAAAACGGATGTGTATAACAAATTGCAGGGTTAACACAAAATCTAGAACACTTTTTAAGGAGTGAATCAAAACATTCACATTTAAATATTTTAGAACAAATTGGCATACCTATCTTTAGTATGTTGAGAGGTAAGACAGTATTAACAATAAACTACCACCTCTAATAAAATAGTTACATAGTACAGTGTGAAAGAGAAAATAGTCTTACCTTTGGACTATCCTCCATCAAGGGGAATATTTCAGGTTATTCTTTTTATTTATACTTTTCTTTGGGGCACTCTTTTTTTAAAAAAAGTTTTTATTTTGTAATGGGGTAGAGCTGATGAACAAATAATGTTGTGATAGTTTCAAGTGAACAGTGAAGGGACGCAGTCATACATATACATGTGTCCATTCTCCTCCAAACTTCCCTCCCATCCAGGCCACCGTATAACATGCAGCAGAGTCCCCTGTGCTATACAGTGGGTCCTTGTTGGTTATCCATTTTAAATACAGTAGTGTGTACATGTCCATCCCAAATTCCCTTTGGGCACTCTTAAACTGATTCCCTTCGCTGGAGGACAAGGAAGCGATCAGTACATACAACCCACCTTTCCGGCCTGGCCTCCTGTGGGGGTGAGAGTGATGACGTGGGGGTGGTGGGCACACCGGATCCAGACGAAGGCCTCGAGGAGTGATGAGAGTTGTTGCCGAAGTTGCTGTATCTGAAGAGTACAGAGGGTTAGGTTGGTGGCAGGAAGGGACAGAGAAATGAGTACAAGTCACTAGGTGATTAACACTTGGCAAACTCTCTTCATTTTTACAAGAAAAATTAGCACTAGAAAAGTGCTACCTAGAAAAGGTAGCACTGTTAGCGATCACCCTAACTTAAAGAAACTAACTTCTTCTTTTTTATTATTTCTTATTAGAGAAGCTTCCCAAAGTCCAAAAATGCTAAGTAGTGGCTTATGACAAAGGGCTTAAACAAAATCCTCATGTTTCCTTTCTAAGTGTACATTAACACTAGTTGCTAACATAAATAGAATCCAAATTGCTTTGAATTGAATCATGAAGATTTTTCTTGCCTCCAGGATCAAACCTGGGTCTCCTGCACTGCAGGTGATTCCTTACTGCTGAGCCACAGGGGAAGCCTGGTGGTGGCACAGTTAGTGTTAATTCCATCAAAGGTCTGCAGAAAACATCAGACAACTGACTAAGGAAACATCTTACTAAAAAATTCTCCTTTAGGTGTTTCTGAATCAATTTCATCTACTAGACGCCATAGTCTTGTTGCATGCCCAGCAATCAAGGAGCAACTGTCTCCAGAGCTTCTAGGCTGGCCCGCTGCTTAGAGGTGCACATATTCAACACTTTCACCCAACATGTCCTCAGAACCAAAGTGACAGCCATTAACTTTCAATGAGCTTTCATCATCTCCCAGTCAACCCTGACAAGTTTCAGGATTTGTTAAAGTCTAGGGCTCTCTTGTTTTTTCAGAATAGCTGTTCTTTAGCTAAGCTGGATTCAGCTATCATCAGCAGAGCTTTGTCTCACAACCTATTCAGCGACAAGGCAGGGCTGACTCTTTCTTCTAAATTGGTTAGGACACACTACTGGAGTGTGTGGGACTCCAACGGTTGCTATGATGAAAGTGCACAAAGACCCTCCCATACACAGTGAATCCAGTACAAGTTCCCACCAACAAAATCAGTATTAACCATTCTAGGAAGCCATTTGATCTCAAAATAGGGATATCCATTGATCAAATAAGTCTACTTTTGGGGAAGTTAACATAACCTTACTTACGGTGATGTATATACTAAAAGCATTACACAGGAAGATTCTCACTGGCGCCTCATTGAGATCATGGCAAAAAACTGGAAACTACCCAACTAGGTAACAGTGTGAGGATAAGAAAGTATGATGTAACACTCACTGATGGAATGTTATGCAACCATTAAAAATGACTGCCAATTTGTAAGTGAAAACATGGCAAATGTTCATAGTGTGTTTATGTATATACATGCACACATACCGCATGCAACATCAGTTTATAATATTATATAGTAAGTTTGATTACAATTGTAAAAATAAATCCTCAAAGGTAAAAATGTGTAGAGGAAAGCATAAAATAAAGATCACCTATTTCAAAAAGTGGAATACAGAAGTAAAATTTCAGATTTCCCTAATGAATTACTATATTATAATAGAACCTAAATACTCCCATTACCCCCAATCTATCCTGTGTTGCTAAGTCTGCTGTGTCTGCTGTGCTGGCTTCTTGTTTGTATTTTCGCTATCATCTGTCAGCCTGTGCTCAGTACCAGGCACCCTGGCAGGCAGATGGGGACTCACATGCTACCCCGCCAGCCTCCCCCGTTAACACACCACCTTCATGGCACTTGGTTTCTGGGCATTCGTCTTCTCATCTCTTAAAAGTCCCAACACACTGTCTGTCCAGCAGGCTAACTGCTTCTTCTCTAAGTGAGTGTTGGCTTGATTTTTCAAGTGGTGCTGGTGGTTTAGTGGCTAAATTGTGTATGACTCTTGTGACCCCATGGACTGTAGCCTGCCAGGCTCCTCTGTCCATGGGATTTTTCAGGCAAGAATACTGGAGTGAGTTGCCATTTCCTTCTCCAAGGGATCTTCCTGACCCAGGGATTGTACCCATGTCTCCTGCATTGGCAGGCAAATTCTTTACCACTGAGTCACAGGGAAGCCCATTATGTCAATTACACTTCAATAAAAAAACTAAAATAAAAGAGGGTCCCTCTTTTATTCATAGGCCACAGAGAAGAGAGAAAGATACGAAAGAAAGGAAGCAGCAGAGAAGGGAGAAAAAGCCCAGCAGGAAGGAGGAGAGAAGCAGCAGGCAGTGGGCCCTGCTCAGGAGGGAAGAAAGCTGCCCAAGACCCCAGGATCCTCCGGGAGACAGGCCCCGTGCTCTGGCTTCAGCCCTGCCGTCACCCAGCCGTCTGGACACTGAGCTTGTTATTCTACACAAGCATCTAAAACCATCCCCCTTCCAGACCAAAAGTGGGCATCCCAGATAATGTTTCAACAGGGTTACTTTATTAAAATTATGTCTCAAAAACATTATGGAAATAAAACAAGCATAGAGTTATTTCCCCTCCTTTAGTTTCTCTAATGGTTGAACAATTAATTCGACTACCTCGCGGTCTGTCCAATTTTGGGTCTCAATTTCCACTAAACTAACTGAATTCACTGCACAGAGTTTTTTGTTTTTGTTTTTAAAAAATTCTTTTTAATGACTAACTGCTTGGTTTCTATTATAGCCCATTCAACTGCAGTCCACTACTGAGCAGTCAAATCTGTAGCCATATTGACCTGGGACAACCACAGTGGGTGAACATCAGAAAATTAATGGGTACAAACAATATTTATACGGTATTCAAATTCCTGTCAAATAATTTAAAAATTACAAACTCTCCCCAGCTAAATCCAAGCTGATCCTCATCCACAAGCATGCATGTGTGCTCAGTTTTATCTGCCTCTGCAACCCCATGAACTGTAGCCGGCCTGGCTCCTCTGTCCATGGGATTCTTCAGGCAAGAATACTGGAGTGGATTGCCTTGCCCTCCTCCAGGGGATCTTCCTGACCCAGGAATCGAATTCACATCTCCTGCGTCTCCTGCATTGGCACACAGATTCTTTACCACTGAGCCACCTGGGAAGCCTCACAAGCATGAGACTGCTTTTCTCAATTGATGTGTATATCTGTTTTGGCCAGTTCCATGTTTCTATTGCTCTCATTCCCCGAGCACCGTGAGTGGTACTGAAGCCTGGGGCCACGTGGGAGGGACCTGGGCCCAGGAAAGCCCCGTCAGGGCCTGTGAGCCCATCACCATCCTGGGCTAACACTATTCTGCTGGGGAAGATGAGGTTTGCCAGAATATCTTTCTTCCAGTCAAATGTGTGGCTAATCACTTGTACACAGATACTATTATCAAGGGACGTAAGAGCTATGCTAGATGCATTTCATGAAAATTGTGTGAAAGATAACAGTAACTCAGAATTTTAGACCTAAAAGAGACTGGTAGAGAACTTGTTGTTTGGAGGTGTTCAAACAGGAGGTCACATACTCTCAACAGTATACAAAGCCATTCTGGCTGAGTAAGCCATCTCCACTTACCAAACCACTCTGTGCCTCCATTTCCTCACTGAATACACATGGACCATCAGTTAATACTGATTTTTATTACTGATCTTGGACAATTTGATTGTTTAAAATATTCAAACTCTCTGCTCCCCATTCTCTGCTCTGCAGAGAGGTCCTGATCCAGGCATCAGTGAAGAACAGGCACATAGGTAAGCTGGCAAACACCTGAAAATTGCCTGAGCATTTTTGATTTGCACACCTCCTTCCCTCAGCCTCATCTCCCATTGGCATAGGAATCACTGAAGCATCCAAATGTAAATAATGCAATTATATTAGCCAAGACCTGGAAACAACCTATATGTTCATCAACATATGAATGGAAAAAGAAGATGTGAGTTAGATATATATCAATATATACAATGGAATATCAGTCATAAAAGAGAACAAAATAATACTATCTGCAGCAACATAGATGGACCTAGAGATTATCATACTAAGTGAAGTGAGTCAGAAAAACAAATACCATATCACTTAATACATATGGAATATAAAATATGATACAAATCAACCTATCTATGAAGCAAAAACACACTCACAGATATAGAGAACAGACTTGCAGTTTCTCAGGGAGGGGGAGGAGAGGGCTAGATCGGGAGTCTGGGGTTAGCAGAGGCAAGCTATTATATACAGGATGGATAAACAAGGGCTACACTATAGCACAGGGAACTATATTCAACATTCTGTGACAAAGAAATAGTGAAAAAGAATATGAAAAAAATATATGTATAACCGAGTCACTTTGCTGTACTGAAGAAATTAACACACTGTGAGTCAACTGGACTTCAGTAAAAATTTTAAAACATAATTAAATTAATGCCCAGGAAGTGATTCAAAACTGCCAACTGTTTGCCATCTCACAGGAAGTTATGAGCAGTGTCTGAAAGAAAATCATATACATTAGAATAAAAACTGAAAGCTACGAAAAAGAGAAAGGAGATAAAGAAAAGACACCCACCTATTAGAAGAGAAAGACCGGAAGTTGTAAGGCTCGGAGGCAGAATATGTGCTCAGATGGAGAGAATCAGAGGAACTGTGAAAGGAAGGAAAACTCACTCAAAAGGCTGCCTGGAAAGTTGGCGAAGCCCCTCGCTGCATTCTGGCGATCAAGAGATGTGGTTTTGGGGGGGGGGGCATGCTTCAGATTCTGATATCATGCTTATGTTTATAAACCTTACCTTCATAAATCCATTTTTAGTAATGGCATTAGAACCCAAGAGCTCCTCGGTTGGCACAGACAGGATTTTGTTCTGTGTGTGCTAAGTCGCTCAGTCTTGTCCCACTCTTTGCGACCCTATGGACTCCAGCCCACCAGGCTCCTCTGTCCCTGGGATTTTCCAGGCAAGAATACTGGAGTGGGTTGCCATGCTCTCTGCCAGGGGATCTTCCTCACCCAGGGATGGAAGCGGAGTCTCTTACATCTCCTGCATTGGCAGGTGGGTTCTTTACCACTAGCGCCCCCCTGGGAAGACCATATTTTGCCTGCATGCTGTAATTAGTGAGTGGTCAGGGACTTTACACAACTGCTGCCCTCTGCTCTGACCTGAATTCACACAAACACAGTGCAAGACAAGCAGGAGGATGTGGTTAACACGCCCGGGTCCCCTTCCCCGGGGTCAGCCTCACACAGGCCACCACGGGGGCCGGGTCTACCTGCTTTCCTGGTGGGACTCGGCTTCCTTCTCCTTGGTGGACAAGGGCGAATCCTCAAAGTCATAGGAGAAGAGGTGGAAGGGGCTGTGGGGCACGTAGGGCAGCTTCTCTCTGCTGGGTGACGCCTTCGGGGCAGCGGGTGCAGTGGAGGGGGGCCGAGCGGCCGGGGTGGGGCTGGGGGGCGGCCGCAGCGCGGGCCCCGAGGACCCTCTGCCCGAGGGGGTCCCCGCTGCAGCGCTGGCCGGCAGCGGCTTCCCCGGCGAGGCAGCGGCGAGGGCTGCATCCTTTCCGGTGGCAACCTGCTCCGAGGCAGGGTGGGCCTCACTGCTGCGGCAGCCGGGAGGAGAGCAGGAGGAGAGGAGGAGAAAGGGGAGGAAGAGATGGGGGAGAGAGGGAGCCAAGGTTAGGAAAGGGGGAAAGGACGTGTAAAAACTCATTACCGTCGGGGCCTCCGGATTGGCGGTGTTTCTTGACCTGCGGCATAGAAGCCGGAAACCCGGCTTTTCCCAATAATCCTGATGCCCTGGGCTGGCCAGTCTGGGACGTCAGACCAACCTGGCCTCCAAGCAAACAGGAGCCTTTGTGAGAGGATCTCATGGGGCCTCAAATGCTCTTCTGCACCTCCCTCCTCACCCCCCAAGGATCTCCCCGCCAGTTGTGTTGGCACCAGAATTTCCATAATTTGAACTTCATTTCTTTGTCTTGCTCAACAGAGGATCTGCCCTCCTCCTAAAAAGCCCAGACTTGAGGACGCAGTATACCGCAAGCTCCAAACTTAGGAGTTAGGGCTTGTGGATACTTTCCTGAGAGCAAGTGTGGAGGAGGAGAAACAATGCCAGCAGGACATGCAAAGAACTGGAAATGAGGGGCTGGCAGAGTGAAGAGACATTTTGCCTGGTTCACGGGCACATTTCCCCGGGGCCTCCTCTACCACTAAACCCTAGATATCTAGACCCCTGCAGGCAGGCCCGACTCTGCCATGGACAGAAGTCCATGGAGACAGAAGTCATGGAGACTCCCACCTTCAGGGCTGGATTGAAAACACTTCGATGTCTTGATGCCCACCTCTGTCACTGGAGTCCTTAGTCCACTGTGCTGTCCTTAGTCGCTCAGTCGTATCCGACTTTTTGCGACCCCATGGACCTTAGCCCACCAGGCTCTTCTGTCCATGTGGATTCTCCAGGCAAGAATACCGGAGTGAGTTACCATGCCCTCCTCCAGGGGATCTTCCCAACCCAGGGATCGAACCCAGGTCTCCCCCATTACAGGTGGATTCTTTACCCTCTGAGCCACCAGTGAAGCCCACTGGAGAATCTACCTTAAATTCTGCAGTTTTCAAAACCATAGTCCCTTTCCCAGAGAACTTGACTCCCGACCATGCCCATTTGGAAATGGAACATGAGTTATGTTTTTTTTCTTTCCTACCTCAAATTCGGAGCTCCATCTGTGTATAAGAGCAGGGATATAGTGGTTCCCCTGGCTCAGAGGGAGAATGGGATGAGACCACACTGAGGTGCTCAGGGCAGGCCTAGCACAGGGCGTACATACGATGGTACCCACACATGGCGGGTACACATGGCAAGCATCCAAGGAAACAGCCAGCAGGACGAGGAAGCAGTGGACGACACCAGCCCACAGGAGGAAGCGGAACCTTTCCCACCACTTTGAAGTCTAGTAGCTTGACACCAGGGAGCAAGTAACATCACATCCATGTTAATGAACACCCTGGCCGAGATCAAACCCTGGGGTTTCATGTGCACACCCTCTGCTTCCTAAAACAGAGAAGTCTAATCTGTACAATCTCTGATGAAGATGCCCTACAGCACCAGTCGTGCCATTAAAGATACTGCCGGGGTAGGATAAACCGCCGTCTATCTGTGTCAACAACCATCCCATGTAAAGGCAGCAATGGTAGTAAGGACGCCTTTAGAGGCTGCTCTTCCCAGCCAGATTCTTCTATCTGGTCTGGGGGTGCTACTGAACTGTTTCAGTCCCTGAGGGTGAAGGGCTTGTGTGGGTGGAGGTCACACCACGTACACTTAAGCACGTGGGGAGCCACACGGGTGTATTTATTGAGGGTACATATAACTTTCTGTGGCTCATTCTCAGCCTAAGGTGGGACTGTCATTTGAACCTCCTCTTTCCCAGAGCATCCCTAACTAAAGTCCCTACCCCCAAGCCTGGCACTCAGCAGAGGCCAGGGAGGGGGTGCCCTGGTTAATGCCCACCTTTCTGCCCCCCACTCCTGAATGGGCACCTCACTCTCTGTGGACACCTAGTGGTCATTCCTTTTCCATCTCTACATCCTGCTGGCTTCTTCCTGGACATTTCCCAAGTAGGGAAGCAGTTCAGAGAGGAGTCCATGGCCCCAGAGAGCCATGGACATTGCAGCGCATCCAATGGGCCTGAGAACTTTTACTCGCGTTGGTGACCTGGAGAAGGGGGTCACGGCAGCAAAGAATCCCATTAACTTTGAAATTGGTAAAAGAAAGATTTCACCCTTCTGACTTTGCTTATTTGTGGAAAAACTAACAGCAAAAATATCAAAGTGCAGTGTAATCAATCAAGTGAAGGAACTGATTATAGAATTATTTTTGAATATCAGAAAATGAAATTACCCATGATCAACTTTTATGTTTCATACAGACCTCATTTGGGGGGAAATACCCACCAAATTCACAAGTATCTACAAGGTGCCTTTCTGCTAACATCGCTTGAAGACAGAAAGGATGCACCTTGGAGAGGTGAGTAGAGGACAGAAAACCCCCAAAGGGCTGCATAGCTCTGAGAGTCATTCTGGGCATGAAAATAAATGCTGGGATTTTTTTTTTTCCTGTGCTGTATGGGGGTGAAAAGTGGTTCTGTCCATTTGGATACAAATCAAAGTGCATTATTACCATAGCAGTCATCCACATATTTTAGATAACATTATACTGGTAAAATTAGCAAGAAGAAGGGGACACATGGAATTATTCTTCCTACAGGGCAGAAAGCATTAAAATTTTCTGAGCGTCTCATTAGTTATTGCCAATGTGACTGAGCCCAAGCACTCAGGGAGGGCACCGTGGGGAGGAGAGCAGCTGGGTGTGTCTTCCATAAAGCGTGGTGAGTAAAAATGCAGTCCTCTAGGGAAAACGTGCTCAGTTATATTTCTAGGAAGCTAGCCACTGTGGGGCTCTGTGTGCAGGGAACCAGTGAGGGAGGGAGCTAGTGAGGAAGGGAGGAGGCTACTGAAGGATGCTGCAAGCTCTCCACCAGGAAGGAGCCTCCAGGCTTTCAGTGGGAGCCCGGGAGGGTCCAGCCCTCGGTACCTGTCCTTGCCCTGACAGGGGGCATCGTCCTCTCTCTCCTCCTCTGAATTGGGCTCCGTGATTGGCTGCTCCTCCTCCTCCTCCTCCTCAACCCTGAGACAAGGCCAGGAAAAGAGAAATGCACACAGAGACAAGATGGAAAAGCGAGATAAGCATTACAGACAAACAGGAAGATGAAGCCAAAAACAACAACAACAAACCTCCAGCTGGCTGAAATGAAAAGAGCACACTTAATCTGTTAGGAGAAGAGGAGACAGTTCTGAGATGGAGAAATTTAAGTGTGGGTCGGAGATGCAATCACCTGGCCCAAGCCAAATTTCTGTGTTGAGCTGGCTGGATGAGACTGCGCTGCATACGCCCATCTGGCTCCCCCCACCCCCCCACCACATGGACGCAGAGTCACTTCTGGCCTTGGGCAGGCCTCCCAGGAGGCTCTCCTCCTGCACACGGAAGGTGCAGTGGCCATGCTCTGGGCTGCCCTGCGCCAGCAGGGAGCAGTCCTCACGTCTCCACTGCGTTCCGTCCAGCACCAACCTCCAGGCGGGCAGGTGGTTTCTGCATGTTACTCCCTCATTCTCAGTCAATGTGTCTGGGGGTGGCGGCCTGATTCCCCCCATTTCAAAGGTTAACACATGGCCTGGGTGGATTCCATCCAGGCCACCCCTGAGATTTCTCCTGGTGCCTTCAGGGACAAGAAGGTACCAGGACACCCTAAGTTGAGAGGAGGAGGGCTGTCTGTCACTGACGATGGTCCAAGAACAGCAGAGTTGGAGAGAGAGAGATGGGAAGGAGGATGGGGAGAGAGAGAAGAAAGCAGTCCCCGTGACAGTTTTAATACTTGGATCTAAAATGCTTCTGAAGCTTCACTAACAGAAGACAATAACTTCTCATTTTCACTTAAGATAGTTTAACTTGAGTTTTGTTCCTGCAGCTACACAAAGACAGACTTTGATAACTGATTGATTTCCCAACACTCTGAGGGCTTCTTAATCCCTTGCCAAAGGGACTGGAATGACTGGACTCCAATGACCTCCATCTTTGTTCACTTCAGCCCCGATGTGTTGGACCTCACTATCACAGTGAACTAGCCCACCTCAGAAAACCTACATGCAAACTTCCACACCTGCACCCCCCTCTCCCCAACCACAAGCCCCTCTCCTCCAAATCTCTCATTTCTCTCCTCCCACCATAACTCTTTAGCAACCTCAGTATCCGCCTCTATTTCCTAGAGGAAGATTGTCCTCCACCAAGTCCTTCTTGCCCTCAGTCCTCATGAATTGACCATTCTCACTGCACCCGTCATTTTGCCAAGATCTTTAACTCTTTTTCCCCACTTGTCTTTCAGTCATGGTTTTTACTTTTTACGGAAATATAAAATATACACAGATAAGCACACGAATCACTGAGGTTTCACAAAATAGACGCATCCATGTAATCAGCATTCCTTCAATGCTCCTGTTTAATTGCTCCCCTCCTCTACTTCAGATAGCACAGGTCAACCTTGCCTGATTTTCTTCTCCATCTAAAGGAATTATACTGTATCCAGATTCTTTTGTTCAACATTACACTTGTGAGAATCACCTATATGGCTACATGTTCTTGAAGATCATTCTTTCTCGTGGCTGTATACCATTCTCTCACATGAATACACTATAATTTAGTTATCCATTCTACTGTTGATGCTAACCAGGTAGTTTTCAGTTTGGGGTTATTTTACATAGGGCTGTTATGGATACTGTAGTAGATTTTTTTTTAGTGTTTTTGGTCATAAGATATGCTTAAGTACAACTTTATTAGAAACTGTCAAATGATTTTTCAAATAAATGAAAGAATTTACATTGCTATAAATAGTCTATGAGCATTCTGGTTGTCCCCACATCCTTGCCAAGATTTGATATTTTTGCCTATTTCATTTTGCCATCTAATCTGAGGGTAAGGTCTCATTGTAGCTTTAGTTCACTTTCCCTGATGACCAATGAAGTTGGGCACATTATTATACTTTTAGTGCCTATTTAGATACACTTTTTTTGAAGCGTCTAAGTACTCTGTCTTAAAAACCTGTAGGTTGTCTTTGCATTCACTTTATGATATCTTTTAATAAAGGTAAGATCTTAATCTTAACGGGACCCCATTTATCATTTTTTCCTTTGAACAGTACCATTCAGTCACTCTGAATGGAACTGTCTTCAGTCACAAAGTTCATGTCCGACTCTTTGCGACCCAACGGACTACAAGCACGCAAGGCTTCCCTGTCCCTCACCAACTCCAGGAACTTGCTCAAACTCATGTCCATCGAGTTGGTGATGCCATCCAACCATCTCATCCTCTGTCAACCCCTTCTCCTCCCACCTTTAATCTTTTCGAGCATCAGGGTCTTTTCCAATGAGCCGGTTCTTCACATCAGGTGGCCAAAATATTGGAGTTTTCAGCTTCAGCATCAGTCCTTCCAATGAANCAATTTGGAACCAGTTTGTTGTTCCATGTCCTGTTCTAACTATTGCTTATTGACCTGCATACAAATTTCTCAGGAGGCAATAAGGTGGTCTGGTATTCTCATCTCTTGAAGAATTTTCCACATTTTTTTGTCATCTACTAACCTTTGATGGTTAGTGTTTTTTTGTCCTGTTCTAAATTTTTTTTTTGCTTACACCAAAGTCTTAAAGGTAGTCTCTTCTTTGTCTCTCTAAAAGCTTTATTATATGACCTTTCATATTTATATTTGATGATTATCCATAATTTATTTTGCACATAATATGAAATAGGGTTCAGATGCTTTTTTTTTTTTTTTTTTGCCTACATAGATAGACAATTGGCCCAGAACCATTTAGTAAAAAGGCCGTATTTTCTTCAAGTTAGTATCATCTTTATCATGAATCAGGTATGTATCTGTGGGTTTCTGGACTTTTTCTCACCATTAATCAATTTTTCTACCTTTGAGAGAATCTTTGAACACTATCTGAACTACAACAGTTTTATGATAAATCTTGACACTCAACATGTAAGTCCTTGGCCCTTTATACTTTCATAAAACTTTTGACTCAGCTTGTCACTTTCCACAAAAATTTTGATGGACTACTAATTAGGAGTGTATTGAATATACACATAAATTTGGAGAAGAACTGACAACTTTACATATTGAGTCTTCCAATCCATGATTATGCTATATCCTTTATTTACATCAAACTTTATTCCAATATCCTTTACTTTCTTTTAAAGCTTGAAATTTTCAGTACAAGTATTATATATTTTCTTTTAAATTTATTTCTAAATATAAAACTTAATTCTACTGTTGTTGTTTTTCAATTGCTAAGTTGTGTATGACTTTTTGCAGCCCCGTGGACTGCAGCCTGCTCTTCTGTCCATGGGATTCTCCGGTTAAGAATACTGAAGTGAGGCACCATTTTCTCCTCCAGGGCATCTCCTGACCCAAGGATTGAACCCACGTCTCTTATGTCTCCTGCACTGGCAGGTGGGCTCTTTACCACTAGCGCCACCTGGGATGCCCATAAAGATAGTTGTATTTAATTTGCTTCAGTTCTTATGCTTTTCTTTTCTTTTTTTTTTTTTTTTGCCTTATTACACTGGCTAGGAACTGCAATATTACATTGAAATGATGATACTAAGCATCCTATCATTGTCGCAAATATCAGGAGGAAATATGAGCTTTGTCATGTATTTTTTGTAAGCATTCTTTATCAGATCAGAGAATTTTCCTTGTTTACTAAGAATTTTTGCCATATATGAGTGCTGAAGTCTATCAAATGCTTTCTTTCCATTCACCAAGATAATCATATGATTTCCCCTTTTTCTCTGTAAGTGCAATGAATTACACTGCTTTTTAAAATGTGAAACCAATCTTGCATACCAGGAATAAATCCCACTTATGTTATGTTATCCTTTTTTAATATAAACATCTTGGTTCTACTTGTTAATTTTTTATTAAGAATTTTTTAACTGAAGTATCATTGATTACAAAACTATTAAGAATTTTTTACACATATCTTCTGGGAATAGGTTGATCAATAATTCCTCTTTCTTAAAATGTGCTGATCAGGTTATGCAAGTCTCATAAAGAGGTAGGGCAAAGAGGGTGACAGCAGTGAGGTTAAAGAAAAAAAGATGGATCCAAAAAAGCTTAAAACAGACATGGCTGAACTTAGTGACTGATTACATGTGGCAGGAAAGGAAGAGAGAAGACTCAATTCAATCCCATGGTTACATGTCTCATACCTGGATTGAGGGGTGTCTCTGTCAGAAACAAGGTCAGTGAGACAGATTTTTTAGAGCTGTTTGATTGTCATAGCAAAATTGGGCAGAGGGTACAGTGATTTCCCATGATAAGTAACAATACAAACATTTTTTAAAAGTAAAGACGTGTAACTACGGGGCAAGAGTTATCTTTCCACTTACCCAACAATTATTTATTGAGCATTTACTATGTGCAAGATGCTGGGGTATAGTGGTTAATAGAGGTTCTCACCCTTAAAGTTTACACGTCTGTGGGGGGAAAAGACATCAACTGCACCAGGAAGTATTCAAATGAGAAAAACTTCTGCAGTGCTGTTGGCCAAGTAGGAAATGACCAGAAGACAAGATGGGACTTTGCACACGAACCTCTCCTGCTCCAACGTGTATACACTAACCTGAGGGTAAAGTCCAACTTGCCCAGCAAATAATCCCATCATTTCATCAACTTCATCTCCCACTCTCATCAACTTCTTCACCCTAGTTTTAATCAGTCTACTGAGCTGTCCACCCAGCTCCATGGGCATTTCAGCTGGGGGTCCTGGAAGGAGCCCTTCTCTCTGCCTGGAGTTACTCCTCTGTTTCTCTAGCGGACCCGGTCCACAAGGACAGCCAGTCTGAGTACTCACTGCCTGCTGGAGATCTTTGGCCCTGCAAACCTCACATGGTGCTCAGCATGGAGACACTTGCTCTGGATGGTCAACAGACAGAGTGGCAAGAACTAGGAGATGACTTGGAGATCTTTGCCTGTTGCAGATAAGAAAGTCGAGGTCCAGAGAGGGCGAGATCACACAACCTGTCAGGAGGAACTGCTGATGCCATGAACTCAAAGTAGAATCCAAATGGGT